AAGCGCCCCTCCGTATGACGGCATTGGAGAAGCAATGCAGAGTTGCACGTGAAATGGAGCAATTTGCAGACAGCCCAGGATGAATGCACCCCTCATGCACTGTGGTTGCACCAATGACATGTTGCAGAATTTTTTTAAAAAGAAAAGAAACCCCAAATCAATCTGGAGGAGCCTTTTAAGGTGTTTTAGCTGTGTGTCCGTAGGCCTTCCTCTCCCTCCCCATCCTTCAGGGGAAACTGATGTGATTTGTAGGAGACTGTGGCCCTCCTCCTGTTGCCCCTTTCGCCCATTTGCCTCCCCTTTCCTTCTCAAACTGCTCACCCAGAGTGGCTTTAGAGAGAGAGGCAGCAAAGGATCTTTGGCATGAATTTTGTCCCTGCTGCGTATCTGGGAAAGCGGAGAGATGGCCTGGCAGGCTTGAGCACTGAGCTCTGCTCAGCAAATGCAGCATGACCTTGTGAGGATCTACTAGCGCTCAGGTGGTCTCTCTCACCCCACCCCCACTGCCATCTCCCTCCCCCTGCGGTGGTGGTGGTGGGGATTAACTAGCGGTTGGTTGGTCCTCTGTATGGTTTCTAGCCCAGTGGGACAGTCGGGTTGCCATGGCGATGGCTTCACAGAAGCTCCTCCAGCTCTCCTTGTCAAGAGACGAGTGTGCGTCTGTGTGTGTGTGTGTGTGTGTGTGTGCGTATGTGAGATCAATGCTGGAGTTGGCCCAGATTTCCCTGGCCTCTAGGGAGGAGGGGGTGGTGGGGGGGGGGAGAGGGATGAAGCTACGTCACTGTCAGCTGAGCTCTAATTTCCTTCCCAACCCCACACTGTGCAGAACACAGAATTATTCCTGTGCTGAATGTTCATATCCTCCAATTAAAAAAAAAAGTCATATAATTATTAATGTATTCCAAACAAGGGTATTTCTACAAAAGTGCTTATTTTACAAAATGTGACGATTTGTCTACTTCTTCTTGAACCTGGTTTTGTGTGTGTGTGTGTGTGTGTGTGTGTGTGTTTAAATAGGTGGGGTTTCTCTGGTAGGGGGAAGAAACTGGATAGTGAATAGCAGCAAGGAATTATTTAGGAAGAAGGAGCGGAGAGGCTATGTGGGAGGATAAGGGATTAAAAAAAAGAAATAAGGGAGTCATGCAAGGCAATGGCTCTCCATCCTTAGAGTGCTAGAGGCGCTTTGCTGATAGCTTGAGCAATGAGAACTAGAAACCTGATGTGTAAATCATAAAATTGTAGGTCCTCGGTAGTTCAAAATATGTGTTGGAGAGCTTCCAGGAATCCTTTTTGCTGGGGAATCGTTAAGAACATAATTACAATTACTTTGGCTGTGGCACCCCAGTAATTCCCCTAAGCACAGCATTCTGTCTTCAAACAACTAACTGAGCCAAACTTGTGCCTTTAGACTATTAACAGACCATACCTACTCCCAGTTAATCTGCAGCATTTGATAGCCAGAAGTGGGGCTTTATTTAAATCTGGGTTTCACTGGAGTTTAGTTGGGAACCTGATTTTCTGTACCAACGCTCAACCTGTAAAATATGTGATGCAGAAATATAGAAGGCTGACTTTGTGTGTATGCAAACACCTTATGCTCTTTTCAGTACTGGAGGGATCACAGCCAAACCTACCCTCCTCAGTATATCTTAGCAGCTGAAACATGGAAGCATGGCCAGTTAATCCCAGCAATATATATGCGTGTGCACTGAGGAAGGCATCTCTCAGGAGAAAAACAATATTTTACCAGCCATAAATAGTCATATTTGTTGCAGGGGAAATGCAGTCCTCATTTCCCTCTCCTAACTTCTCTTACAGTTGTAATAAGTAGATATGCATCATTAATGATGCTTTCCAGCAGTTTTCCTGGAGCAGACATTAGGCTGGAAGGCCTGTAACTTCCCAGATTCCTGCTCAATGTGTTTTTCAAAAGGATTGGCCTGTTTTCCAGTCCCTGTGTAGCGAGGCTGATCTTTGGGACGAGTTACATATTTCTATAAGGAGATCAGCTATGACAACATTAGCTGTCCTCCGTGAATAATGCTCTCAGCTGCCGGGAGCAGAAACTTGCTGGTTGCAAAGTTCTACACAAAGCAGCCATTTGTACAGGTCAGAAGCAACGCACAACCGCACTATCTTTTTACAGCAAGCCAGGTGCTGACTCTCACCTGGCAGGAGAAGCAACAGAGGGAGAAGAGGCCGGGATCAGGTGGGGTTTAGACGATGCCCGTTTACATAGGCATTTTCTTGATCTCTTTACCCAAGCCTCCTGCTTTAATTAATGTGTTGTTTTAATGGGATTGTTTTATTGTGTGTTTTAATTATGCACGTCTAACTGGTTTTGTACTTCATAAATAGCTTAGAAGCCCATTTTGGCATTAATTGGTTTTCTTTATTTGGTGGTGAGGCATCTCCACGCCCGCCTCCCTCAAGAACGCTGAGGGCACCATCCAATTCTCTTCTGCACATTGTAGGGATTGCTTGGGGTAGGTGAGTGAGACAGTCTTTCAGCGAAGCTTGTCCACTGATCTCCCCATTGAGGAACCCCTTGACCAGCTTCTGAGGACCCCGTTGCAAGAGAGGCTTTTTTTAAAAAAATAAATCACTGCTTTAACCACTGGGTGTTGTAGAAAACCACGGCAACTAAGTGAATCGGCTTCAGAATTCAAAAGTAAAATGTGGTTCACGCCCCCCCCCATTTAAAATGTTTTTGGTTTTCTTCACACACACTGGACTGGGGTGGAGAACCTGTGGCCCTGCAGATGTTGTTGAACTACAACTCCCATCAGCCCCAGGTAGCGTGGCCAGTAGTCATGGGTGTTGTAGTCTGGAAACACCTGGAGAGCTACATCTTCTGTACCCCTGAAGTGGTGCAATGAGTGAGGCCTAAGAGAGTGTCTTGGTTTTTCTCACCTTCCCCCACCTTTTAAAAGGTTTGAAAGGTTTCTCCCTATCTTCCCCCACTCTTAACAAGTTAGGAGTGTCTTCTTTTTTAAAAAAGTGTAAAAGTCAGACTTATTAAATTTACTCCTTGGAATCTGGTGGCAAAGGGAGCAATATGTCCAGCAGGCACAATTTCAAATAGCTTGATGGAAAATAATATGGGCATAAAAGCTCTGCCAGTGGAGAGTGTTTTTCCTAACCACTTAAATGGGGTGGTGTTAGACTCCCTCTACTGGTACAGAACTATAAAGACATTTTATTTAGTCTGCTGAAAAGCCTTCATCTCTCAAGGCCCTTATGCATATAACAATAACTGTGCAGAGACCCAGGTTTTCTGGTCAGCAACTAATTTTACAACAGCTGTGCCTTGAGGAAAGCATAGTCCATCCTCAAAAGTAGACTGCCAACAGGTTCTTTTTTTCCAGAACCACCTCTTTCTCCTCTCTTTGCTTTTGGGTTGGCAGCACTTCTGCTGCTACTATTCGGGGGGCAGATCTGCCCTTCGGGCCTCTAATTGCTGACCTCTAGCACAGTATAATTTTGAGGCAGTTAACGATATTAATAATAAAGTGTGATTTATTTCATTCACTGAAATCCCTGTCCTATTCACACTGGAAACTACAGGCCAATTAATGCAAACGAATAATTGAAATTATATAGTTACAGATGGGTAGCCGTGTTGGTCTGCCATAGTCAAAGCAAAAAAAATTCCTTCCAGTAGCACCTTAAAGACCAACTAAGTTAGTTCTTGGTATGAGCTTTCGTGTGCATGCACACTTCTTCAGATACACTGAAACAGAAGTTGCCAGATCCTTCTATATAGTGAGAAGGTGGGGAGGGGTATTACTCAGAGGGGGGTGGGAATGGGTGATTGGCAGATAGCTGTGATGAGTCTGTTGACGACCCTTAACGACTGCAGTAGGTCTTACAGGAAAAAGCAAGGGGTGAGAAGGTGAAAAATGGCTTTGTCATGTATAGTGAGATAAGAATCCAATGTCTCTGTTCAGGCCAGGTGTCTCCATGGTTTTAAGTTTGGTAATGATTTGCAATTCAGCAGCTTCTCTTTCCAGTCTATTTCTGAAATTCCTTTGTAGTAAAACAGCTACTTTGAGATCTTGTATAGAATGTCCTGGGAGATTGAAGTGTTCTCCTACTGGTTTCTCTGTCTTGTGATTCTTGATGTCAGATTTATGTCCGTTGGTCTTTAAGGTGCTACTGGAAGGAATTTTTTTTGCTTTGAAATTATATATCCTTCAGTATATTTTAAAAAAGCAATTTCCTTATTATATTAACTCTCCCCTACTGAGAGTTAATCCTGTGTACTCCATGAATATTATGTTTTACATTTTACCCGGGAAAGTGAAACTCTGTGACCTGTATAAATTCTGCAAATAATAGCAAAAGATCTGCATTTTCCTAATTTGCAGAATCTATTCAGCTTTCCCACCTTTATTATTCTGCATAACTCTGGTTTTGCTAGCCATGCAAAGTGGCCCAGAGCTATCCAGTCCCCTAAATCCCAACTCTTGACAAGTAGAAGTTTTAATCAGCCTCCTCAGCAGGCTCTTCTTACATTTTTATAATGGACCATTTGGACGCATCCATCTTTGTCTCCTGTCCAACTCACGTACTAGGTGTTTCTGTGGCTGTGAAATCTAGCATTTTCTCCGTGGTGTTACTGAACAATTGGTAAATATTGATGGAAGATGTAAAGCAGTGCCAGATCATTTGTTCATTTATGACATTTATGTTTAGCTCAAGGTGGTGTGTGAACATGGTTCTTCCCCTTCCCCTTTCATCCTCACAACCACCCTGTGAGGTAGGTTAGGCTGAGATAAAATGACTGGCCCAAGGTCACCCAGTGAGCGGGGAACTGAACTCTGGTCTCCCAGCTCCTAGTCCAACACTCTAGCCACTGCACAACACTGCTGCTCTCTGTTTTAGATCTTAGCTACAGTAACACCAAGGTTCTTGCAGAAAGGGATTGCCAGCTGCAGATTTGAAGGTCTGGTGCCCTGGGACAATGAAGCATCTCTCTCTCCTCCTCTCTTATGCAGCACTCAGTAGCAGAGAAAGTTCGGACAATCAGGAAGTGCCGGAGCCGGCCCCTCTGTGAGTATCCATGCCCCCACTAAGGATGCAAAGGGAAGCCAATGCAATTACTTCACTGCTACTCTTTTTTGACAGGTGATCAGTACCAGCAGCATGTTAGGTGCTGCAGAGCGGCGCTTGCCTGCCTTTTTGGTATGGCAACCCAGAAGACCAAATTCACTTGGTATGGTGACCCATTGTTTTATTGTCATGTGAACAGGTCTCCAGCAGCTGTCAGTTTTCTGCACTATAACTGCGAGTTTGCATGTTTCATAACCCTTACTTGAGGCATCTAAGCAAAAAAATTAAGACTGTTGAAATATGTGCAGTACTTACCGGTAAAAAGTTATTCTCAGTTATGTTTATGGGAATAAGAACACCAGCCATCAGATTGCAGGATCATGCTTTGTAAGCTATAAAAATTTATTCTAAAAACATACAGTTGCACGAGCCATATTAGATATAACCAACTATGGATATTTGTGATAGTTTTCTTCATGATAAAACCCATTTTAGCAGCTGTTGTGGGGGTGGGGTGCTGAGCTTGCCTTTTGCCACTGAGTAGCTCTGTTGGTTCTCAGACATCATCCCAGATCATTATGGACACATAGGGTAAAGGTGTTACAGTCGTACCTTGGAAGTCGAATGGAATCCATTCCGAAAGTCCGTTTGACTTCCAAAACGTTCGGAAACCAAAGCACAGCTTCCGATTGGCTGCAGGAAGCTCCTGCAGCCAATTGGAAGCCGCAGAAGCCCCATCGGACGTTTGGCTTCCAAAAATTGCTTGCAAACTGGAACAGTCACTTCTGGGTTTGCGGCGTTCGGGAGCCAAAACGTTCGAGAAGTAAGCTGTTCAAAAACCAAGGTACGACTGTATTTCTTATTTTTGCTAACCAAATCTCAAATCACACTTGGCTTGACTATTAACTAAACTTGGCAGCAGATCTGTGGATAGCTCACCATAAAGTCCTCATAGAGGGAGTTGCTTTGAGTAGTTATTATCACTCAAATGGCATCAAAGGTGAGTTGTAATAGTCACTCAAAACAGCTCCCTGTAAACTGTCATTGGCTCTGCCACCAGCTGCCAGTGAGGAGTTCCCAAGTGTTAAGGTGTAAAATTTAAGCCTTTCTGATGTTCAATTACAAGCATCAATGCAGTATTGTAATAAGCCAACAAAACAAAAAATTGCACAAGGTATTCATCATACCTGTTAAAAATCAAAAACAATAATTACTTAGGGTTTACTTATGAAGTTCCCACTCACACAGGCTTTGTGACCCATTTGCGGGTCACAAGCCACAAGTTGGAAAATGCTGTTGTAGAGAACATAGAAGAAGCATGGTCTTTTCTCCAGAAAGCTTACAGTCTACATAAAGCAGAGTTGCAGAATCACAGAATTGTAGAGTTGGAAGGGACCCATGAGGATCATCTAGTCCAACCCCTGCAGTGCAGGAATCTTTTAGCCCAATTTGGGACTCGAACCCACAACCCTGAGATTAAGACTCTCATGTTCTACCAACTGAACTATCCCAGGTGCTTACAAACAGCAACAGAGATGAGGAGATTCTGGGGGTTGGCCAAGTTGTCATGAGATTTCATTCGGCATTGATGCCCATATATCACATTTTAAGTCTATCTTTGCAACTTTGAAGAAACTTGCTTTCACTTTAAATATGAGTTGTAGATTTCCTTAAGATTCTGCACCTCACACTCATTTCCATACTTGAGCAATGCTGTAGATTTGCAAAATACACACCATCCTGGGTTTGTCTGGCCAGCCATATTTGAGTGTCAAAATCCTCAGGATACGAGCGTCAAACAAGTGTGCAGAAGTCCATATCTGAGGTATCTATTGTTGGGTGGTACTGTTTTATTCTTCAGGCATGGGAATCGTGTGCAAATGCTCCCACCCATCATATTCTCATTTCATCTTACAAAACTATCATGTCAGAGAGAGTCAGACATGAGTCTTTGGATCCACAGGTCTTGGGTGTGGAGGGGGATTTTACGTGGGGCACACATTCATTCCCCTGCCTTCAATATGAAACAATTCAGGACAGCAAGATCTTATCAGGTGGGGCTAATCCTGGACTCCTTAAGGAACAGATGGGGAATCTGTGGCCCTCTGTATATTGGACTGCAGCTCTTAAGGTCCCTGGCTGTTGACCATATTGTGTGAGAATGATGGGAAATTGAATGCAATAATATCTGGCGGACTATCAGTTCCCCATTCCTGCTTTAGAGTATCTGCTTATGCTAGGCATGATTGTTGTGTTTAGCTTTAGAATGGTGTCTCTTCCCAAATGACTGTCTTCTCCTTCTTCCCCCAGGCCTGGAAATGGAGTCATCTCCCCAACAGCTGCAGACAAAAGCTTACGTCCGGCAGTTCCAAGTTATTGACAATCAGAACCTGCTCTTTGAGCTCTCTCACAAGCTGGAGTCCAACAGCCAATGAGGCAGCTGCCCACAGGGCAGGCGTCACTAGCAAATAATGTTTACTCTGCGCAATACTCGAGCACTTTTTGGATGTACAGGGGTTCCTCCTTAGGGTCTGACCCTGTTGGGAGAGGAGAGCACCGAGTCGCCAAATGGCAGGGATGGCCAAGCTTGGTCGGGGTGTCCCGTCCAAGAAATCCTGGTGACTGAGGTGCAAAATCAAAACGGCACCTCGCCTTCCTACGGTTTGAGCTTGGGACACAATTGGCCACAGAGTTCTCCTGCCAGGGCTGGCCCCGAGATAATTTTGATGCCAGAGATTGAAAATCTAACTAGCACCTTCCTGTCCCCTCGTCCCTCCCCCAGCAGTAAAAAAGCAAACAACTATTTAAGTAACCGAAAAATGTGCTGCTCTTTTAACCGTGCCCCCCAAATCTACTGCCTTTGCCCATTGGCAGAGCTCTCTTGGTCTCCTGTGCGAGCTTCATTTAAGGGAAGGGAGACTCCGCCAGAGCATCCCGTGAGTGGGACTTGCGCAGAAGAATCTCCCAGGGAGTATTGGGGCCCCTTATCCTCCATCTGTCGGTTTCCCTCTCCGCCACCTGGAACGGCGCTCCAAATCGGCTGCCTGAGGTGACTATCTCACTTTGCTTCACGGCAGAGTGTAGAGAAGTTTGGAGGACTGAACCCAAAATGGCCCGAGCAGCTGGAACAGTGTTTTGTGGAGGAGGTCAAGACAAAGCAGGACATCTTGACTTGCTTGTGGGACAACTCACACTAGCGGCCAATGCCCTTTCTGGCAGTTTCCCTCCCCACTATAACCGTAATCGAACAAGTCCTTGAAAACGAACAGTTTGTGAATCAGAAAAATAAGCTTCCGGTCTCATGAGTCGGACATAGTACAGTTGCCAGAGGCAGTGTGTGCAGAAACGTCAAGAAATGTCAGTTTGCTACCTTTCATTTCTCCTATTACACTACTCTTTATCAGTGGGCATTTTTATTTCTGTATTAGAAAGGTTTGATGTGGAAACATTATTATTATTATTAAGAATAATTCACAGGAGACTCTCAAAAGTATTTTTTTGGTTCTGTTCTCACAGAACGTTGCTTTGTTTTTAAAAAGCTGGTCCAGGTAAACTGAAGTGGGAAAATGTTTTCCCCTGGTGTTCTTAAAATTCAGTTTTGATTGGCTGTGATGGATAAGACAGTATTCAACGATTTCCATTCTTTGGGATCTAAGCTACAGGGACTTAAAACACCAAAATTATAAGGCTGTCGTAGTTCCTTATTGGAGCCAGTGCGGTACAGTGTTTAGAGTGTGGGAGGCCAGGGTTCGAATTTCCACTCAGGCTCACTCAGTGACTTTGGGTCAGTTACTGTCTCTCAGCCTAACCTACCTCACAGGGCTGTTTGTTGTGAGGATAAAATGGGGAGGGGAGAACCACCGCCTTGAGCTCGCTACAAACTTAACTGGCCTAAAAGTCATTTCAGGCCCCCACAGTACTGCAGTTCTCTGACGGGGACTTAGGGCTAAAGATTTGCCTTAACAAAGAATCCTCGTCACTTTCACCAAACTACAATTCCCAGGATTCTTTGTGGGAAGCCATGACAGTTTTAATCGTAGTCTAGATATACACAGTTTCTGGTTTTGGCTGCTGTCCAAATGTTTTTTACATCTCTTTGTATTGAATAAATTTATTTTTAGGTAGGTTATTTTTGGGGAGGGGTGTTGGCAAGAAACCAATTGTCTCTTCCTCTTGAACTGGGCTCTAGATATAGGTCACTCTTGAGTCCTGGGATGTGTCCTTCAGCAACTTCGAAGAGCCTCGGAGGGGCAGGGAGATTTCCATCTCAGGATAGGATAGTGGGGTTTCCCCTCTCTATATTATCACAGGGACATTGGACATTCACAACAACAACAACAATATTGTCCCTTGTTATTCACACAGTTTTGATGGTTACACAGTAACCATCAAATAAAACAATTTTTGTTCTCACTTCTCCAAAGTGCCTTTAAAGGATGCAATGTGTTGATTTCAATCTATCTTCACGTTAATCTGGAATAAACTATTGAGATTGATACAAGACTGGGGAAGATTTCCATAAACTTTTATGGAAACAGCATGTTGGAAGAGGGATGATCTTTTTCTGTACTTCCCCTCCAATTGTGTGAACAAAAAGTTGATTTGAAGTGTACTGTACGAATAAGGTCAAGTGACCTCAAAGAAAGACTTCAGTTCTCAAAAGTGTTGAATTTAATCCATGCTGGTAATTGTGAGATCAGAACCAGAGATACTATTTATTTTGGATTATTTAATCTGGGACAACTGGATAGAATTTAGTGGACCCTCCCAATAGGTTTTAACCAACTTTCTGTGACACAGATTGCCAAACACACATATAGCCCAGCCCTTCCCCCACAGAGAATTTGTAATCCACCCTACAGTTGATTATGAGGGTCAGCAGTGGGTTGCAGTGGGATAGTCCTGCTATCTTGCAAAAGTACTGAACCTCCTAGCATCTTTCAAGAAACACAGGTGAATTATTTATCTTCGTTATACTTGGAGCAACTACTTGGAGCAAAGCAACTAAAAAGTTGCTTTGAGTTTAGGGAACCCCTGTGATACCAAGTAAAAACTCTGGGTCTTGCCCTATAACTTCTGCATGGAAGAATCATATCTCAGGGCTACGTCCCAAAAGCTGTGTGTTCCCCCTGGAATTTGTTTCCAGTGCCATGATCTAATCCTGGAAATGTGAAGTAATAATAAGAATGCCTCTGAGCCAGTCCAGAGTGCATTGTTCACACTACTGAATAACCACAGCCCATTCCCACACATTTCTTGATTAGGGGGCAGGGATTTCAGGTCAAGAGAGAAAGGTGCCTGCTTCTCTTTTTAGAAATGAACTGCTTTCCCTACCATGTTTCTAACAGCTTTAATATTAGGTCAAAAATTGATATCAAAGCGCAGGTGTTGTAAAGAATTTCTCTCGTTTTTTTAAAAAATGGCTTTTCTCTTTGCTGACCTCCTCCCTTTCTCTTTGATAAGGGTTGTTTTTATTTGTGTGTCTTTGGGGGGGGGTTGCCTCTTTTTCAGGGGTGAGGAACCTGTGGCAATCCGGATGTTTCTGAGCTTCATCTCCTATATATCATTGTTGCTGGCCATGTTGGCTGGGGCTGATGGGGTTCCAGCAACATCAGGAAGACACCAGGTTCCCCATACCTGATCTAGTGGCTTTCTGTTCAGGGACTTTTCATTTCAGGGTCTCTCGCTTTTGTCTATATTTCTTTTTCTCTCTCCCGGTGAGAGTTTCAGGTCCTAATGCGAGGATGTGTATATATTTATATATATTTTTAACAAGACACTCTTGAATTGTACATTTATTTTTTAAAGAAGAGCCTTGTATCATTGGGCAATTGTACAGTGAATTTTCTACTGTTGGAATGAGGGGATCGCTTGCCTACACATATAACCCTACAAGCTTCCGCGAGGTGGAATGTAAGATGTATTGTGTTGTTCTGGGGAAGCTTAGGGTTTTTTTTGGGGGGGAGGTCTGGCTGTTGTTGATATTATTATTATTATTAATAATTATTGTTGTTATTGTTTTGGTACTGCAGCACTTGGGTAAGAAGCCAATGGTGGAAATAAATAATTGTGAAAAATAAAATCAGTGGTCGGCTTTTATACAGATTATTAGGTAAAATTCTTTTATATAGTGCCATCAATGTATGCGGCTCTGCACACAAGGCATACAATCTAAAAACAGATACAATAAAAATGAGTAGTTTAAAATGCAAAATTCAGTGGAATGCAGTGAGCTGGCAGCAATATTGTGACTTCTTCATATGAAATGTGAGTGAACAAACGATGGCAATTTCAGACAGGTAAACTTCTAATGTGGAAGCAACCCGTGTTGATAATAGAGCATCTTTCGTATATATAAATCTGTTTGAATTTGAGAGTGAAACTAGCTTCTGGTTTTAACCCAGAAAAGGAACTATACCTAGGTATCACTGCTGTGCTTCTAAGAGCACAAAGCCCCTCAGTGTGAGAACAACCCCAGCACAACAGGGAATCCTCTTGCTTGCAACTATGGGCTTTTAATCAAGGCCTCTGTCCTCCAGCATTTCACAGATGCAAACGGGGCATGCTAGCAACACCCCTATTCTCATACCAAGACTAGTCTGCTGCATTCATTCATTCAACAGCCCGTCTTTCATTGTTTCAGTAATCATGATGATGCTTATTCTACAATCTGTTATCAACAGATTGCATAGACAAATGCATAGAATTGTGGAGTTGGTAGGGTGCTTGAGGGTCATTTAGTCCAGCCCCCACCAATGCAGGAATCTTTTGCCCAACCCACAAGCCTTGAGATCAAGAGTTTCATGTTCCGCCGACTGAGCCAGCCCAGCTGCTACTAAGTGGAGAAAAAAGAGGCTTCATTCAGCAGATATGCACTGGAGGGCGGCAAAACACACACACACATCCCGTATGCAGTCGAGATTTACTGTAATTTACAGGCTACAGATGAAGACTTCAGAAAGTCTCTAGGCACAAAGTAATGGGCAGTATAACACCCGCTGTATTATACAAAATATAAGGCACCTTTTAGGGGCTGCATAGCCGCTTTTCGGGGACGTTATCGGGCGATCTTTGAGATCCCTATGATTTCATGATTCTTGTTGTACATCGGCGTGGCTACTTCGATGTGGTTAGATGTTTCTACTTTACACAACGCCTCCGGACTACATTGCAGGGTTGTCGTGAGCCACCTTCCCTGCCTAATCCTGCAAGGGCTTTCAACCTGCAAAGTGGAAATCAATCCAGAATTGCCGCAAAACCCCGTCCAACATCCATCCCCCTACAGTTTAAAACGGTGGGCTGCGTCGTGCATTGCACAGCTCTTGCAAACTCACAAGTTATCCTCAGCCTAAACCTGCCGCTATCCTCCTTTGCTGGGCCTGAAGAGATATTGGGGGGGGGGGAGAGAAATCCCCTTCACGGGCGCTGGAATTACGAGTCTGAAAGTTGCGAGTCTTGTGATTTCGTGTTTCCAGTGTCCTTCCCAACATGGCCGAGCTCGGCACCGATTCTTCTCAGGCCTCTTGGACCTTCTTAATATGGCGACCCACGCACCCACCCAGCCTCACTTCCTCCCACCTACTCCAAACGGGAAAAGGCGGAGCCACGTTGCGCGTGCGCGTTGGCCCCGGGGAGTGCTCTTCGACGCCATTTTGCGTGGCCGCCGGGCGGGCACACGGCTGTTTCCGGGTTGCAGGCCCCGGAGCAGAGAGAGAAAGAGAGAGAGAAGACCAGAGAGGCAGAAGAGCTTGTGGGTAAGCGAAGAGGGCTGCGAAATCCACAACGAGGGGCGGCTGGTTGGGTGTGGGATACGTGGCCTCCTTGAGAACCCTTTGGCTGAGTGGTTGGGTGGGTGGGCGGGCTGCGCTTTGACATTTGACCCGTGTTCCTGCGGAGGTCACGGGGCTGGGGAGTGGGCGAGCAGGGGCGGGGTGGAGAGAGAGGGCTCGGCGGTGAGGGGCCAAAGGGATGGCGGGAGGAGGGAGCCCAGCAGGAGGGACTGGGAACGGGGGAGAAGAGGGGTGGGCCCCATTGGCCTGTTGTTGAAGGGGGTGGGCGATTTGGTAGGAGCCCCTGGGCGCTGGGGGAGGTGAGGGGGAAGAAGAGGGGTTTCTGGGGTGAGCAAAGGTGAGAGGATACTTTGATTCGTTGACCAGGAGAAATTTAGTATAAAGAAAGGGGCCTGGAAGGAGGAGGAGGAGAGATTGGAAAATTGTATTTAGATTTTATTTTCCCCCAGTGTCGCCGCTTGTTTAGGTACTGGAGTTATTTCAAGCCAGGGGTTGGGAAAGAGGAGTTGGGGGGGGAGACCCTTGGTGTGTGTACAGGCTGGGGATATTGGGAGGGTTACGCCTGCGAGAATTTATGGGGAGAGGTGGGTCAAGAGCATTGCGGGGCTTGGTTAGCCCGGTTTGAAATACTGTAGTTGGTATTGAGCAGGTGCTTTCCGGGGAAGGGGTGTGTTGCAGCGCCAGAGGTTTTTGTCTGCGGGTGGTTGAGGATTTAGACATAAGCTGAACAGGTGAAGCAGATAAATATGTGGTGGCTTATGTATCTGGGTGATACATTGAGGGTGAATAAAATGGGAGCAGGTGACAAACTGTCAGGAGGGAGGGAGGTTTACATAAGCTGCTGTGAATTTTGTGAGGGCCATATACATTATATACTTCGCTGCTGAAATGGTGGCATGGCGAAGTATCTGTGGAAGGGGGCTAGGTTATTTATAGGGTGAGTGAGGGTGTGGCATTGAGGAAACTGCCCTTTTTCTTCCTTATTCTTCTAAGTTGCTGGAAGTTGAGGGTCAGACACAACAAGAACAAGTGACGAGGATATGAGTTTCTTTGGGGTGTCACCCATAATATTTTGTTCTGAAGCTCCAAATGAGGTACTCAAAACTTAGATGCGCACAAAGATTGAGGGAGTTTTAGTATGTCCTCTGAATATGAGCTGAATGCGCTTGGGATCTGACATGCTTACAGGCAAACTGCATCTGCTTAATTCCCAAAGTCCTCTCTATTCCTTTTTGCTCTCTTCCAAACCAGGGCCTCTTCCGGATTATATGTTGTCTTTCCCTTTGCTGTAAATGGCCTTTTGGGCATATGCTGGGTGTGGTCACCTTTTCGTTCCTCCTTCAGAGGTATGTGTTGTCAGTCAGTGAATAACTTTAGTTCAAGGAACTGTGCACTCACCTTTCTGCAGGTGGAGTTGCCTTCCTCAGTCGCTTTTCTTAGAATGTTATCAGTGCTTGTCTAACTGTAGCATTTGTTCGCTAAATGTGTGGTTCTCAAAACTCTCAACATACTTGGAAGTGGAGAGTGCAGAAATACCTGCAAGTTCGGTGGGGTGGGATTATGTATTAAGACAGCGTGCTGGCATACAGCTTTCTCACTGAACAGTTGTTTGCATATACCTTTTCCCCATAGAGCTTTCTCTTTCCATTAGATTCCTCCTTCATTGCAGTCTTTGCTCATGTTCTGCTTCAGTTCTATGATGGCCTGCTGGAGTAAAATGATGGATTTGGACAATTTATAATTTTTCAGCTTCCCTATATTCTAAATTGGATATGGTCCTTGGCTTTGCAAAGCATTGTGCATTTTAAGACTGCAATGTAACTTGTTCCCGTTGCGGTCAACATTGCATGGCACTCCTGGTTTGCATGTCTTGCCCTCTTAAATGTGTTGCTATTTGCATGCCTGTGATGGGTAACTGTCATTCCAAAATGTGTGGAACCTTCTTTGAAGTTTTATAAAACAAGACAGATTGCACAGTTATCTGTCAGGGATTACTTTTGGTACAGGATACCCTGTAAACATGAGAAGGCTTTACTGCAGAGATGGGGAATCCAGTGCTTTCTAGACGTTGTTGGACACTCTAATTCCCATTAGCCCCAGTCAACGTGCTCTGTAGTTGGGGAGGATGGGAGCTGTAGTCATGAAAAGCATCAGGAAGGCTCCATGTTCCCTGTTCTGCCCACCTGGATAAATTCTGGGTTTGATACTAGTACCCGCCTGACAGAGTATTGCTGTTTGTTCTTGTGCTGGCCTGACCAGTGACAGGGCCTTTTCAGACCCTGGAATGCCCTCCTTAGTGAGGTGTGTTCTCTCTCATTATTGATGTTCACGAGAAATTAAAAAAAAAATCTGTTTACCAAAGCATTTGATGACAGAAGGAAACTGTTGCTGACAACCCTGATCACTGATTGTGAATGTTTTTAACTTTTAAAGAATGTTTTTAAACTGCTTTTAGATTTTAAAAATATGTTTTGCCATTACTGTGTCAGCTGTCCTGGGATGTAAATCCAATACATAAAATAAATATTGGTGCTGGTTCTGGAATGATGCATGTGTTTCTTTTCTGAGCAGTAACTACAATATCTTCTTTCAACATGCTGCTTTCTCTGCCTGTAGTCTTGGCCTTTCCATTTCCCATCTTCCAAAATCTGTTGTTATATAGAGATGCTAGTCCTCCTTGTTTCTGATTATAGTAGGCGGAAGAGTGGAGCAAGAGACAGGCCTCAAGGTGATTAAACTTGATTGTGGGGTTCTGGCCAGTGTAATTGGTACAACACTGAGAAGGGAGACCAATTATTCCAACAGGTCTTTAGGAACTGACTGGAAAAAGGGCTCATGCTGTGATGTTCTGTTTTCTTCCTCTTCTTCTTGTTAGCTATATTTCCAAATATATCTTTTTGTAGTCTTTCAATTCTGTAAGTGTTTAATTACTTTCAATGCCCCTATTTTCTATGTTTTATCCTTTTTTATATGTAAGGCACCTGGGGAAAAGGCAGGATAATAATAAGAAGAAATACTGTGGGAAGGATCAATTGGATAGGGTCATTTCAACATTACTTCATTGATACATTACTTTATTTATGGAAAGGTAGATTGGCTCCAGTAATTTTTAAAGCAGGGGTCAATAAATTTGTGGCCTTCTAGATGCTGTTCACCTTATAGTATGGCCAGCGACCAGGGATGATGGGAGTTGTAGTGCAGCAACATCTGGAAGGCCACAGGTTCCCCCACCCCGGTTTTAAGGACCCCTGACTTGATTACGTTTGCCATGCCACTCACAGTCTCTGTTTCCCCTATGATAAGGTAAAGGACACCTGGATGGTTAAGTCCAGTCAAAGGTGACTATGGGGTTGCAATGCTCATCTTGCTTTCAGGCTGAGGGAGCCGGCATTTGTCCACAGACAGTTTTCTGGGTCATCTGGCCAGCATGACTAAACCGCTTCTGGTGCAATGGAACACTGTGACAGAAACCAGAGCACACGGAAACACTGTTTACCTTCCTGCCACAGCAGTACCTGTTTATCTACTTGCACTGTCGTGCTTTCAAACTGCTAGGTAGGTTGGCAAAAGCTGGCACAGAGCAATGGGAGCTCACTGTTGTGTGGATTTGAACTGCCAACCTTCTGATCAGCAAGCCCAAGAGGCTCAGTGGTTTAGACCACAGTGCCATCCGTGTCCCCTGTATAAGTCTGCTTCCCCTATATGCAATATGGGAATATTGATGATGTTTTTGGAGATAGCTAAATTATATAGGCATATAATACATAAAAATGTGCTTCCTGGAGAAAAAGTTTATTAAATACCATTTTGGCTGGTATTGGATGATATTCAGTGCTAGTGCTACTCAGAGTAGACCCATTGAAGTTAATGTATGTGACTGGTTCATTAATTTTAATGGGGCTAATCTCACCCAGAACTTTGTTGAATACAACTCATTTTATCCATTCAATATGTTGCTAATTGGATTTATAAAATAGTTCATTTTTAGGAAAAAAAATTCTGTGGAAAAAATATAGCTGTTTCCGTGGAATTATCCACCCCAAAGTAGTGCATTACATAAGCTTGGGTTGTTTGCTGTATTAAGTGTGCATACAGCAGAACTGTAACTTATGAATGCCTGAGGGATGTTAGCTTTGCATGAGGTACCTGTAAAATATTACACCAATCCACCTCTTCAAATTGTACAGCTTGCTGTACACCTTCCCCCTTGTAATGGCTCAGGGCGGATAACGGTACTTGACACGAAATCAGGTGAAACCAACAAAACAATATTCTCACTAAACCAGTGGCTTTCATATTATGTTCTGGGGAGCCCTGGGTTTCCTTGGAAGCTTATAGCAGAGATTCCTCAAAGAGTAAATCAAGACTAGCAGACAGGCTTCCCCGAAAGGCAGCTTACCAACCACTGCTGATTATCCCTTAATACACATCTGCAGTTCCAGTTACTGATAGGTAGCCGTGTTGGTCTGCCATAGTCAAAACAAAAAAAATTCCTTCCAGTAGCACCTTAAAGACCAACTAAGTTAGTTCTTGGTATGAGCTTTCGTGTGCATGCACACTTCTTCAGATACACTGAAACAGAAGTTGCCAGATCCTTCTATATAGTGAGAAGGTGGGGAGGGGTATTACTCAGAAGGGTGGTGGGAATGGGTGATTGGCAGATAGCTGTGATGAGCCTGTTGACGACTCTTAACGACTGCAATAGGTCTTACAGGAAAAAGCAAGGGGTGAGAAGGTGAAAAATGGCTTTGTCATGTATAATGAGATAA